TAGTTTCCCCCTTCCAAATGGTTAGACAGGGGAGAGATAGCTACAGCCCCTCCACCTCTGGTGCCAGTGAGGTCACACAGAGGTGTAAGAAAACCTCATTGCTTCTGCTTCCCTTGAGATGAACCAAAAGAGCCAAGAGTTCATGTTTATGAAAGAACACGATAGTACACAAGGCTCAGGGTGGTCAGATTGTATCTGCGCATTCAACTGTCCTACTACTGTATACCTGTGGTTGCCCTTGTAAGTCCTTTAATATAAGCCCTAGTGATATGCAGCTTTTATCAGTAAAGATATTATGTGCTGTAAAATATACATGTCAGCTGTAATGCAAATGGAGAATGGGTCATGACAGCAGAACATTTCACCATCCACACTGTACTCAGACTTTCAAATTATGCAGGTTGGGATGTGCTAATGTTGAAAACTGCATTCGATGTACATTACACTCTGAGTCTATCATATAGTTAAATGCAGGCTGTGGAGCAGTCGCTTCCATCCTTTTATATCATAGAAGTATGTTTTAAATGATTTTTGAGTCTCAGAGAACCCCTGCTAAAAATTATGGGGTTGATTTACTAAAGGCAAATAGACTGTGCAGTGCTCCAGGGCCTACTAAATGAAGGTAAAGCTTCAGTTTACAAAGAATGAGCAATCACATGCAAAGAAAAGCAAAAACAGCAATTTTGCTTGTACATGATTGGATGATGGAAGTCAACAGAGCTTCACCACATTTACTAATTTCTGAAGCAAATGCCCTTGCAGAGTCTATTTGACTTTAGTAAATCAACCCTTTCATCAACAGTCAGGGACGGACTGACCATTTGGAAATTTGGGCACTGCCCGAAGGCCCAGGGTCAGTAGGGGCCCCTTGAGATGCCCCTGGTACCTTTTTCATAGGCTTTTTTGAGTTTGGGCAAGGACACCACAGGGGCCCCATAATCCCCTACTGCCCGGGGCCCCATGAATTGTCAGTCCGCCCCTGTATATAGTCCATTGCAAAGTATATTAGTGTAATTAGTAAGTTATATACTATTAAAAGAATACGTGATATAGCATATTTGACACCAGAGCAGATCATTTTTAACATTCCCTTCAAAATACATAGTTACATAGTTAGTCTGGCTGAAAAAAGACAAAAGTCCATCCATTTTAACCATATAAAAAAAAAGAGTTATAATCCTATACCCACAGTTGATCCTATACAGCAGCATTACTTTCAGTAAAAATCTTGAAATTAAACAAATGACAATGGAAAAAAAATAAACTCTGACTAGAATAGTCTGAATAGACTGTGACAATTATAGGGGCTGATTTACTAAAGGCAAATAGACTGTGCACTTTGCAAAGTGCAGTTGCTCCAGAGCTTACTAGATGAGGTAAAGCTTCACTTTGCAAAGAATACCCAATCACATGCAAGGAAAATAAAAAACAGCATTTTTGCTTGCACATGATTGAATAATGAAAGTCAGCAGAGCTTCTGCTTATTTACTAAGCTTGGGATCAACTGCACTTGCAGAGTACAACAGCACATTGCAAAGTCCTCAGTCTATTTGCCTTTAGAAAATCAACCCCATAGTGTCCCTTTACATTGGTGGCCAGTGGAAAAATGCTCACATACATTAAAGGCCAATTAATTGCTTCTTTACATTGGTGGTCAGTTGGGAAATGCCCATTAGTCGTGAAAAGTGACCCTCTTACAATCAAGGTCAGTTGAAATGTTCTTCTAAAAAATGGCAGTCGTTATAAAAGTACCTCCTTAAATTGGAAATCAGAGAAAAAAGAAAAAAAAAAAAGGTTTTCATGAAATTGGTAGTTATTAGGAGAAGTTACCCTTACATTCGTGGTCATTTGGAGAGATGCCCACGCACATTGGTGGTCAGTGGAAGAAATGCCCTATTATATTGTAGTGTCTCCTGCTGAGTGATGTTGGGACCTGAAGTATCTACAGTGCATCCAGAAAGTATTCACAGCGCTTAACTTTTGCCTCATTTTGTTATGTTACAGCCTTATTCCAAAATGGATTGCATTCATTTTTTTCCTCAGTGTTCTACAAACAATACCCCATAATGACAATGTGAAAGAAGTTCATTTTGAAATCTTTGCAATTTATTAAAAATAAAAAACAAAAAAAAAAACCACATGTACATAAGTATTCACAGCCTTTGCCATGACACTCAAAATTGAACTCTGGTACATCCTGTTCCCACTTATCATCCTTGAGATGTTTCCACATCTTGATTTGAGTCCAACTGGGAAATTCAGTTGATTGGACATGATTAGGAAAGGCATAGACCTGTGTATATAAGGTCCAATAGTTAACAGTGCATGTCAGAGCACAAACCAAGCTATGAAGTCCAAGGAATTGTCCATAGACCTCTGAGACAGGATTGTATAAAGGCACAGATCTGGGGAAGAGTACAGAAAAAATTTTTTGCAGCATTGAAGGTTCCAGTGAGCACATTAGCCTCCATCATCAGAAGTTTGGAACCACCAGGAATCTTCCTAGAGCAGGCCACCCAGCCAAAATGAACGATCGAGGAAGAAGGGCCTTAGCCAGAGAGGTAACCAAGCACCCGATGGTCACTCTGAAAGAGCTCCAGCATTTTTCTGTGGAGAGAGGAGAACCTTCCAGAAGAGCAACCATCTCTGCAGCACTCCACCAATCAAGCCTGTATGGTAGAGTGGCCAGACAGAAGCCAGTCCGCAGTAAAAGGCAAATGGCAGTCCGCCTGGAGTTTGTCAAAAGGCAACTGAGGGACTTAGACCATGAGAAACAAAACTCTCTGGTCTGATGAAACAAAGATTGAACTCTATGGCCTGAATGCCAAGCGTCATGTCTGGAGGAAACCAGGCACCGCTCACCACCTGGGCAATACCATCCCTACAGTGAAGCTTGGTGGTGGCAGCATTGTGCTGTGGGGATGTTTTTCAGCAACAGGGACTGGGAGACTAGTCAGGATTGAAGGAAAGATGAATACAGCAATGTACAGAGACATCATTGATGAAAACCTGTTCCAAGGTGCTCTGAACCTTAGACTGGGGAGATGGTTCATCTTTCAACAGGACAACGAACCTAAGCATACAGCCCATATAACAAAGGAATGTGAATGTCCTGGAGTGGCCCAGCCAGAGCCCAGACTTGAACCCGATTGCACATCTCTGAAGAGATCTGAAAACGGCTGTGCATCGACGCTCCCCATCCAACCTGATGGATCTTGAGAGGTACTGCAAAGAAGAATGGGAGAAATTGCCCAAAAATAGGTGTGCTTGTAGCATCATACTCAAAACGACCTGAGGCTGTAATTGGTGCTAATGGTGCTTCCACAAAGTAATGAGCAAAGGCTGTGAATACTTATGTTCCTTTTTTTTTTGGTTTTTATTTGTAATACATTGCAAAGATTTCAAAACAAACTTCTTTCACGTTGTCATTATGGGGTATTGTTTGTAGATTGTTGAGAAAAAAAATGAATTTAATCCATTTTGGAATAAGGCTGTAACATAACAAAATGTAGCAAAAGTTAAGCGCTGTGAATACATTCTGGATGCACTGTAGGCACCATCAGATAAAAAATCAATTCACCCCTGCTTACTGGTCAAGGAACCCATAGAAATTTCTGGAGGAACCCCAAGGTGCCATAGCACCCTGTTTGAGAAATTCTGGTGTCGACACAAACATTTGTCCCACAATACATAACCTGAAGCACCACACTGAAAGATTCATTTTTTAAAAGATGCATCTTAGTGTGCATGTGAGGGTCCTTATATAAATAAGAAAAGTTTATGTTAACTGTTTTTTGCATTTTTTACCCCAATAGATTTTATTAAAAATGAAAAAGTAATACTGCTTACTGTTTCTGCTTCCTTCCCATCAATGAATTTGAGATCCCTGAGAAGCCACATCTCAGCTACTTCATACTTCTCATCTAGACACATTCGGTAGTGTTTAACCAAGGATATATAGACTTCTTCCTCCTTAGCCACTGAAAAACATGATTACTTTGGTGTTACACTGTGCCCTTGGAATTCTGGTGTACATAATGACTGATATGTCTTCATATTTCATTGTTACTATTTAAATTCTTATAAAATAAACCATTCACAAAACAGTTTTGAAGAGCATTATTGTGTTATTGTGTCATGGGGCAATATGTTACCCTAGCCAATTCATTTTACATGGACTTATAACACATCACAACACACAAAAAGATGGACATGACCTTTTACTGAACTTGGCTGTAGCTGCTGTCCCATTAGTTGGCAGTGAGCTGGACATGTAGACCTTGAAGATCATTATCATATTATTTTGTGTCATAGCTTGATGCATTACAGCCCACAACCCTAAGACCATGTTTCAGGCATTAATGTACTTTGTGGAAACATGCAGTGAAAATGATTCTTCTTCCTTTGACAGTTTCACTGCACCAAGGCCACCAGTACACTGAACTTATAACTGCCCAAAGCCAAGCACTTCTGGGTTCATTTATTGCAAACATTCTTTTTGAAAACCTCAGTAGTGAACCTGGGCTCACAGTTGCCAGTTGAACCTGTAGACCACATGTTGCGGGGTGATTGCTGGATGGTAGAAGTAATTGCTTCTACTAAACAGAAGAAAGCCAGCAGAGTTAATTTCAAAACGAGTTCACAGCTACTTTTACAAGTTGATTTGCATAGTTCTCTGGTCTAGAACTTTTTTTTATGTTGTCAGAAACCAGTTCTGTAGCTATTTTTTGGCCATTTCTACACACCACCTTACCAGCAAACTGTCAACTTCTTGCTATGCCTAGAGGCCCAAATCACTGCCAACAAATAAAGCAGAAGCTAGTGGCGGGTTCTGTAAGGGTCCTTCATCTATGTACTGCATTGCTGTGTTCTAAAACATTGACATGGTTAATGAAAATACAATATATTGCCAAAAGTATTGAGACACCCCTCCAAATAATTGGATTCAAGTATTTCAATCACCTCCATGGCCACCGGTGTATAAAACCAAGCACCTAGGCATGCAGACTGCTTCTACTAACATTTGTGAAAGAATGGGTCACTCTCAGGAGCTCAGTGAATTCAAGCGTGGTACTATTTTAGGTTGCCACCTGTGCAATAAGTCCATCTGTGAAATTTCCTTGCTACTAAATATTCCATGGTCAACTGTTAGTGGTATTATAACAAAGTGGAAGCAACTGGGAACAACAGCAACTCAGCCACTAAGTGGTAGGCCATGTAAAATGACAGAGAGGGGTCAGTGCATGCTGAAGTGCACAGTGTGTGTAGAAGTCGCCAACTGTCTGCAGAGTCAATAGCTGTGCAATGCAAATTGTTGGATGCACTGGTGTAAAGCACGCCATCACTGGACTCTTGAAATGTGTTCTTTGGAGTGATGAATCATGCTTCTTTTTCTGGCAATCTGATGGACGTGTCTGGGTTTGGCAATTGCCAGAAGAACAATACTTGCCTGACTGCATTGTGCCAAGTGTAAAGTTTGGTGGAGGGGGGGATTATGTGTTGGGTTGTTTTTCAGAGGTTGGGCTTGGCCCCTTAGTTCCAGTGAAGGGAACTCTTAAGGTGACAGCATACCAAGATATTTTGGACAATTTCATGCTCCCAGTTTGGGGATGGCCCCTTCCTGTTCCAACATGACTGCACACCAGTGCACAAAGCAAGGTCCATAAAGACATGGATGAGCAATTAATGGGTGTAGGAATTTGACTAGTCTGGTCCTGCCCTCAACCTGATAAAACACCTTTGGGATGAATTAGAGTGGACATTGCGAGGCAGGTCTTCTCGTTCGACATTAGTACCTGACCTCACAAATGCGTTTCTGGAAGAATGGTCAAACCTTCCCATAGAAACCCTCCTAAACCTTGTGGACAGCCTTCCCAGAAGAGTTGAAGCTGTTATAGCTGCAAAGGGGGGGCCAACTCAATACTGAACCCTACGGACTAAGACTGGGATGCCATTAAAGTTCATGTGCGTGTAAAGGCAGGCATCCCAATACATTTTGCAATATAGTGTATATAGAGGCACCTTTTCACCTTCTCTGAACATTCTAGCTACAAAAAGGGTATATGGGAATCAACGCTTTAGCCAAACTCTTCTTTATAAAAGGAAAAATAATATCACCTTAAAACAGAGATTTTTTTTCATGGGGTAGATATTCTTTAGTAAAATTTTTATTGTATTTAATAAATAATCTGTGCCACAGAACACTCCTACTCCTCATCTACTGGAGTGTAGCTGCTATCAATACCGGTATCAGGGGCGGACTGACCATTTGGGCACTTGGGCACTGCCCGAGGGCCCAGGGTCTGTAGGGGGCCCCATGAAATGCCCCTGGTACTTTTTTTATAGGCTATTTTGGGTGTGCTTTGAGTGTGGATAAGGACACGGGCCCCATGATCCCCTATCGCCCGGGGGCCCCATGAGTTGTCAGTCTGCCCCTGACCGGTATTAAATACACTGCTAAATGTGAAAAGTGTGCTCATTGACACACAGAGCCAGCTCGGCCCCGCCCCCTGCCCCCTGTTCCCTCTTCACTGCCTGTGATTGACAGCAGCAGAAGCCAATGGCTCCCACTGCTGCCTCTCTGTCCAATGAGGAGAGAGAGCCAGAAGAACAACTGCTCTCATGCACATTGCTGTATTGAGATTGTACTCAGATAAGTATAAGGGGTGGGGCAGTGGGGAAGCTGCTTGCCAAAGGTTTTTTGCATGAAGGTAAAGAACCTTAGGCCTTCAGAACCATTGTAAAGCGGTATTAAACCCAACACCAAAAAAAGTATTATATTGCAGCTTACCAATCACAAGATGTGGTGACTGCATCAATTTTCTTTGCCTTTTTTCCCCTCTGTTTTCACCTGGTGATCTGGCCAGTAACACACCTCCCGTATTAGTGAGACACAACTCTGGAGGAATGAGCACAGGAGTCACAGCAGACAGCAGCATTGTCAGTCTGGAGGGCAGTGTTAAATGTATTAGCAGATTTGAATACAATAACAAATTGAAGCCAGACTCCAGTTCACACTTTATAATCAGTAATAGAAACTGTTTTTTTTCCTAATTGGATAAAGGTTTTGCATGAATAAATAAAAGCTGACCATTTAATCACCCCTGCCAGTGTTAATTGGTTTGTCTCATCCATGTAAACTGATACATTCTGCTGGAAAACTTGAGCTTCAGAAAAACAACAGACTTACTGGCTACATCACCAGAAGAAAATAGAAAAAAGAAAGCCTAAAAAGGGAAACTAATACAGTCATCACATCTTCGAATTGGTAAACTGCAATATAATAAATGAAATCTTTTGGTTTTAATACTGCTTAAAGGGCCCTACTACAGCTCTACTGTTTTTATGACATAAGCTGATAATCTTTATTTTGTATTACAACAAAATAAACATCCCAACAATCAATGTTGAACCACAAAAAAACAAGTAATGACATAAATAAAATATACATGTATACATTTATTATTTTATATGTCAAAGGATTTGCAATTCTTTTTAGCTAGTTCCGGCTATGTGAAGTGTAAATGGCCTTGTACAGCAGAGCCAGGTGCCAGACCTCTAAGCATGCTACACTGTAGTTAAGTGATACTGTCGGGTCTAGAACCCACCCCAGCCGGGGAGTGGACAATGAAGGGAAGCAGCTGCTGAGGTTATTCATCTGTTCTCTTCTCTAAATATGTACACAGACAGCACATTTCAAATTGATATAGAATAGTGTTGTGAATGATACAGCAGACCTCAATAGATATTGTGGTTTGTATGCCGGCTTTTGTAAAAACAAAGAAAAAAAAGAAAAAGACAGAAATAAAATCAGCTTTGTATTCATTAATAAATTGTTACACACACATATACACACACACATTTTTTGTTTGCTCTGTCTCAGTATTTGACCAGATATCAGCCCCTTTAAACTGATAGAAAAGGCAGGCTTTTTAAACCTTGGGTCCCTTGCTGGCACTCCCGATCCCTCCCACCTGAGCATGCAGCTTGCTATGGGGGTACCCAAGCCAACTCACTCTCAAGCTGCTGCCCTGCATGTCCATTCACACAGTCAGCCCCGCCCCCCCCATCCTCATTGTCTCACTGGCTCTGATTGAAAATAGCAAGAGCCAATGGCTCCCACTGCTGTCTCAGTCAAGGAGGATGGAGAGTCAGAGTCAGGGGGACTGGGGCACTTCTGCACACAGAAGGTTTTTTACCTTCATGCAGAATGCATGAAGGTAAAAAAAACTTGAGCCTTTACAACCACTATAAGTACTCCGTCAGCAGAACTCAGAGACTGGGACAGAGAGAAGCAGCAAGGAGTATGCTGATAGAAGGAGAGAGCAGAGTAACAGAGAGAATACTGTCCTAGCTGGGAGAGGGGCAAGGACAGCAGCAGAGAAATATCAGGTTTCCGCCCTGCCAGACAATGCTGTGCAGTGGCAGAGTTGTGTAAATCTCAGGACTGGTTAAACAAAAGTACAAATCCTTTAGCAGGTAAACAGATCCATTACATGTATTTAAGCTGTGCATTTGCCTGCTTTCTTGAGTCCAGCTTTGATGATTTTTTAATGAATGCATAACGTTTTCTAAAGTGTCTGCTTTGAAGTCAGCTTTCTAAACAGAAATACAAGGTCAAAAAGCACAGAGAAAAACTACTATACATGAAGTAAAGTATACATACTTAAACCATGTGAGTACCTTCAATACTAATTTGCATTTGGTCACAGAAATTGCATACCCTTATGAATTTGTGGATTTTCTCAAATTGCTCTGGCTTCTCCATCCAAAACATACCTGATTGTTTAGTGGTTTTTGGTGAAATTAAGCCTAATGTCATACAAGTGGTCTAAGGTGTGAAAACCTCAGGCTAATCTTACAATTGTTACATTAGCTTAGAGAACTCATTCTCCTCTCTTGCACAAGGGAGCACTTTACTTAAATGCACAATATGTACAAAGGTCTCCATGTTTTTGTGAGCTCAGCATGTTCCTAAATCAAAGAATAAATGGTGAGCGCAAGACAAAAAAGGAAAAAGTAAAGCAGTTAGCACAATGTGGCAAACCCTCTGTCTCCAACAAAACACTATAATATCAATGTGCAGCGCTAATAAAAATTTGTGTTATAATCAATGATGACCAGTGTTATTGTAAAAAAGAAAGGAAACATCATAAAAAAGAAATAGGGAATAGTGAATACTCCAATGAAGAAACAAAATGGATGATATAACAAATAACAAATAAAAATATATAAGTCCTCTAAATATCATAATAGTCCCAAAAATATGTTCCTAAATTACTTTCAGACCTTCATTTTAAAATTATATACAGTATATCAATTTCATCCTAAAATTGGGCAAAGCATGAGATCTACAGGAGTAACACAAAAAAAATGGAAACACTGTATGAATTGTACGTGTGGCTGCAGAGGTCAATATTAGTCCCGTGTAGACTGAGATTGAGCTCGGCAGTCAGTTTTGAAGCAGTTGTTTTCTTACTCTGAGTCACAATCCTGCGCAGGGGCAGACTGACCATTTGGAAACTCGGGCACTGCCCGAGGGCCCGGGGTCAGTAGGGGACCCCATGAGATGCTCCTGGTACCTTATTCATAGGCTTTTTTGAGTTTGGGCAAGGACACAGGGGCCCCATGATCCCCTATTGCATGGGGGCCCCATGAGTTGTCAGTCCGCCCCTGATCGTGCGTAATGTCCTTTTGTCTCTGTCATTTAGTTGACCATGTCGACCGTGCTTACGCTTATCAGACGACGTTTTCCCGAAAACTGTATATGCCGTCATAACCTTGTGACATAGCAAATAAATGATCTGCTTCAGTCACAGATGCCCTAGCTAAGCGGGCCAAACAATTTGCCCTCTTTGAAGTTCAGTAAGCTCTGACATGACTACGTATTACTAGTATGATGAATGTGAGGCTTCCCACCTGTTAGCTAGGTGTCTCATCACACAGTGGAAGCAAAATAATGTTACATCACTTCCACTTTCAACGCAAAACATGTCGCCACATTTCACTCTGCAAATCATGTAGAGTTTCCATTTTTTGTCCAACACCTGTATGTCTCTATTATATGAGGATCTGCATGTTTATGGTGCACAAACAATTACAACGGCTTAAAACATTGCAGGCAAAAATTTCAGACACCTATTACTGTTTCATAAATGCCCTCTGACATTCATTAGGAAGTAGCAGTAAGAAAAATGACTGGCATGAGTAGAGAGAAAAAGTCAGAGAAAAAAGAAAAAAAAACCAGACTAGAAACTCTGACTTTTTATGGTCTTTTTTTGTTTCATTGGTATATGACATCAGCTGAATCTTATCTGTAAAATGTATATATTGTTTGAGCTTTTTTCACTCTAATGTTGGCTATACTGTACATGC